AATGATAATTAATTACATTCACTTAGTATCAATTAGAAGATAAAATTAAGGTAGGATTTTGGGAATATTTCGAAACTTTTTTTTTCCTATCTTGGTCTGTTGCTAAGTGAGAATATCCAGTTAAGGTCGAGTCTTAGTAGAAATTTGATGCTGTTCTCAGACTCTCTCTATGTTTTTTAGTTTAATGTAACCAGATAAGTACATTTTAACCTCTTAAGTCAGGAATCTTAGAGAAATGTGATGCTTGGGTGGTAGCAGTGTGTTTGGTCAGCGAAGCGTGTGACTCTAGCCATGGCGTGTATCAGATCTTGCATAGTATTAGGAAATTACATGTTGGTTTGAAGTTCTCATTTGACAAACGTAGAGATGGGACCCAGTACACAAGGGGTTAGTAGTTTATCTCTGTTAATATCTTCACTACAGGGGACGTCAGTTTTAATATTTTATGACCACGTGACCTAATCTGACCTAACCAAACCTAACCTTAATAATTCATGGTAAAAAAAAATATTAGTTGATACTGATTATAATATTGAAAGAATTTATTTAACCAGAAAAATATGGATACAACAAAAACAACAACAACAAAAACAACAACAACAACAATAACAACAGCACTTGACATGGTTGGGTCAAATGAGAGCCTGAACTCTCTTAGTGTCTATTGATAAAATCTTTTGCAAAATATATATATAAAAAAAAGAACAAAATATCTAACTACATGATAACAAGGCATTCAGGACTCACCATTTTTTTCCTCTCAAGTCACAACAGAGATTATTAAAGGTTCCTATATTTAATTCTCCCGCTAATTAGAGACGAGAGAATTAATTTACAACCACACTTAAGATACGAAAGTGGGATGACAACCTAATTGGCAGGAAAATTGCCCCAAGATTCAGCAGCAATAAGATATTTTTTCCTTTGTTGATTTATTAAACTATATAATTACTGTTTGTTTATTTATTAATTTAACTATAGAAGTATCATTTGTTTTGGTAATTAGTGAAAAAAATTAATTACATACTCGATGTAAATCACTGAGAAATGTATGTATGTATTTATGTATACAGAAACGTATACGTACATACATACCCTATACATACACCCGATGTGAGTTAAATACTGGTGTACACATGTGCTCATAAATTACTGGGACATATGATAGAGAAAAACTTACATAAACAGACAGTCTAAAACTCATATGTCGATGTACACATACGCACACACACACGTACACACAGAGATATAAACATACATACAAACACACAAACACACAATCTACCCTTCACCGCACACACACACACACACACACACACACACACACTATAATCCCTAGATAACCACGTTTTTATGCCCCGCACTGAGCCCTGGGGCACGTAGCGATCTGGCTGGCTGGGGTGGTGGGGGGGTGTCTTTTTTATGTCTGTTGTTGTTGTTGTTGTTGGTTGTGTCTGTCTGTAAGTTGAGTTCATTTTAATGTGTTATATTTAGTCACAAGGTCAAGGTTACGTTAGGTTAGGTTAGGTTAGGATGCTATTGGTGTCACTCATTTACCACCATCTATTAACACCTACCACCATCTACCACCATTTGTCAATATTTACCTATACCTACCACCATCTACCACCATTTGTCAATATTTACCTATACCTACCACCATCTACCACCATTGGTCAATATTTACCTATACCTACCACCATCTACCACCATTTGTCAATATTTACCTATACCTACCACCATTTACCAACATATGCTATCACTTACCACCATCTGATATTACTGTAACCGCCTACCACCACCTATCATCATAACCTAACACCCCTACCACTATCAGTACCATTACCACCACCACCACCACCACCACCATCACCGTCACAGTGGTTGGTGGTTGTGGGTGTGGTAGAGAGATCATGTTGTCCCTGAGCTGACGCCGCGCCTGGTATGTGGGTGTGATGGTAGGTGGGTGTAGGAGTGGGTGTAGAGGGTGATAGGAAAGATATGTGGGTGTAGAAGTGGGTGTAAAGAAGGATATGTGGGTGTAGAGATGGGCGTGTGGACGAGGAACATCTTAGACTGAACCTCTGATCAGAATCGAACAATTGCACCTCTAAAATGAACCAGTGAGATGAATTACACCATCTACATTAAAACTAAGAGTAAAAATTAAACCTTTGAACCATCCAAGAACCCAAATATATTACCCAATTATTACCAATTATAACGTCTTATCTCCAGCTGTGAGCCTCTGAGTATGTTTGACCTCTCACTCTTGAACTTCGTCTCTGGGGCTACATACAGAAAACAACACGCTGGGTGTGTGTGTGTGTGTGTGTGTGTGTGTGTGTGTGTGTGTGTGTGTGTGTGTGTGTGTGTGTGTATGTGTGTGTGTGTGTGTGTGTGTGTGTGTGTGTGTGTGTGTGTGTGTGTGTGTGTGATCGTGACCGGGGAGAGGGGGGGGGTGTAAACTGTGTGACCGTGTGATCGTAGGCCAGAGGGGGTGAGGAGTTTAGGCTACTTGAGAGAGCAGATAATAGTGCCAAGTGCCTAATGATAGTGAGGAAGTGTCATGTCTTATAGTTGCTTAAGAAAGTTTTATTGTGGAATTAGATTACATGATAAGTCTGGGTGATGGTGTGTGGGGATGGTGATGGTGTGTGGGGATGGTGATGGTGTGTGGGGATGGTGATGGTGTGTGGGGTGGTGATGGTGTGTGGGATCATTGGTGGATGGTGTGTGGGGTGGTGATGGTGTGGGATGGTGATGGTGGGGATGGTGATGGTGTGGGGATGGTGATGGTGTGGGGATGGTGATGGTGTGGGATGGTGATGGTGTGTGGGGGTGGTGATGGTGTGGGGGTGGTGATGGTGGGGGTGGTGATGGTGTGTGGGGATGGTGATGGTGTGTGGGATGGTGATGGTGTGTGGGGGTGGTGATGGTGTGTGGACTGGTGATGTGTGTGTGGGGGTGGTGGATCGTGTGTGTGGGGGTGGTGATGGTGTGTGGGGATGGTGATGGTTTGTGGGGCTGGTGATGGTGTGGGGTGGTGATGGTGTGTGGGGTGGTGATGGTGTGTGGGGATGGTGATGTGGTGTGTGGGCTGGTGATGGTGTGTGGGGTGGTACTGTGTGTGGTGGTGATTATGTGTGGTGGTGATGGTGTGTGGGGTGGTGATGTGTGTGTGGGGCTGGTGATGGTGTGTGGGGCTGGTGATGGTGTGTGGGGCTGGTGATGGTGTGTACAGATGGTGTGGGCCTGGTGATGAAAAAGGGGATGGTGATGGTGTTTGGGGTGTAGATGGTGTGTGGGGTGGTGATGGTGTGTGTGGGGCTGGTGATGGTGTGTGGGGCTGGTGATGGTGTGTGGGGCTGGTGATGGTGTGTGGGGGTGGTGATGGTGTGTGGGGGTGGTGATGGTGTGTGGGGGTGTGTAGTGATGATTTTGTGGTGTCTATAACTATCACCATTATTTACCACAACTACCACCATCCACCATCACCTAACCTACCTGTTAATTAAACTAATGATTCACGACCTATAAAACACCTCGCTCACACCTGTAGGTATTATGGGTTAAGCTAATTAAACTCTGCCAGATGTGACTTGACTGACGTGTGTATTCTTGCGTGAGGATGGTTTTGGGGTTTGTCTTGATGGGAGTGGTAGTAGATTATATAGTTGTCTTTGTGTACGTGTTAATGATGATGGCTTGTATACCTGTTCATGTCTTACCTGTTTGTGTGTGTGTGTGTTTATTCCTGGTGGTGGTGGTGGTGGTGGTGGTGGTGGTGGTGGTGGTGGTGGTGGTGGTGGTGGTGGTGGTAGTGGTGGTGTGGTGGTGGTGATAAAATGGTCAAGAAGAAAAGAAAGAAAGAAGACGAAAGGGAAAATGTGATGATGAAAAGAAGGAAAAAATAGAAAAAGAGTAAATAAAGGAGAAATTAGAGACGATTAAAAGTGACGGAGAGAAGCGCTAGCTGGAGAATTACGTGTGATGGTCATTCCGGTAGTGTGGTGGGGTGAGGGTGGGGGGGGAGGAGGGTGCCAAGGTGAAGATGAACCAATGTGAGATGTTGATGACGATGTTGATGATGATGATGTGATGATGATGATGTGGTAGTGACAACGACTACCATTACTAATACATATAGCTCTACCACCACAACTACCACAATCGATACTTTTAGCACCATCACTACCATCATCACTACCACCATCACTACCACCATCACTACCACCATCACTACCACCATCACTACCTACCATCACTACCATCATCACTACTAATACAATCTAATGTATATTTCGCAACAGCATTAGTATATCAATCAAACGGGAAGAAAAAATAGTAGAGAGACATAGAAGGAAATACAATAAAGAAAAGAGACAGACAGACAGACAGACTGACAGATCTAGGCGACCCGGACATAGTGAGGAATGCGGTAGAGGAAGCGTGTAATAGGAGAAGAACAACAAAAACGCAGATGGTAAAAAGGGCAGGAGGAGGTGATGAGAGAGAGAGAGAGAGAGGAAGTTGGATCTTAAAAATACCAACTTAAATAGATTAACACAATATAATCTTTAAATTTAATTCTCACCATACATAATAAAGCCAAGTATTTATTTTATCTGTCAGTCAGTCTGTTCTCTGTTACGATTATTTGGTAAACATTGGTGAAACTTCGACTTTGGATGATTTTTGTAAACATTGGTGAAACTTCGACTTTATGGGATGATTTTTGTAAACATTGGTGAAACTTCGACTTTATGGGATGATTTTTGTAAACATTGGTGAAACTTCGACTTTATGGGGTGATTTTTTTGTAGTATCGGTGAACGTTCGACTTCGTTTGGTATTTTCTTGTATATATTTCTTAAAATCCTAAAATAATTAACAAAATCCTTCTGCTGAAACAAACAATAAAATATAAGAAAAATATCCCATTCATCTTATTCAGTAGCAAAAAAATAAATAAATAAAATAAAAAAATAAGTACTCACCGTCTTTTTCTTAAGATGTCGTCTTCGGTGTCGTGGAGATCGTCGACCTCCTTCCACCTCTTCCACCAGCACCACACCTACCACCACCACCACACCAACTACCACCAACCACAACCTCATCTTCGTGTTCCCGTCTCTCCTCTCTTTTACACTAAACTCTCACAGCTCTCTCAGGACCCCCAAGGATCTCTCTCAGCTCACCCAGCACCAGATCTCTTCAACACTGGATGGAACACGACAGAAGGTAACTTTGTGGTTGACGGTGGCCCAGATGGTGGTTAAGTGAGACGTTTGCTGATGGTTGTCTGGTTGAGTGGCCGAAAAAGTGGTGGTCGTAAGAATCAGGTGCTTTTAAGGCAGGGAATGGTCGATTTGGTACCACTGTTTTGGTTAAATTTTTTCTAGTTTTGGTAACACTGTTTTTATACAAAGTACCTATTGTATCGGTACCACTTCCTTAGTACCTGGTATTATGGTATTCCTGTTAGCCTCACTGTCGAGGTACCAAGATTTCCACTAGTACTTGTACCTAAACCAATACTTCTCAAGTTTTGGTATCACTGTCCAAGTACCAAAGATCCACACATATACTGGTATCTCAATCCTGGTACCAAAATTTCACATTAAAAAAAAACTGGTACCAGCCCAAGTAACAAAACTGGAAGATTCTTGACACTCAGAGTACCAGTACCAGTACCTAGTACCAATCAAGTACCCTGTAATCACTCACTAAACAAGCAAAAATATTACAACATCAGATTATATTCCATTATTTCATATATTTTTGTAATTATCATAAAAGTACATAATTTTAGACAACTTTTAACTTATCAGGACGTGAACTTACACTCAAACATCAGATTAATGGATGGGTCAAGTAGTAGGGAAAAGTGATTCTCAAAACATCGTAAGATAAAAGTTTTAAGCTGAGTCACAAACCTATTCTAACATCACCCATGAGTAAGTGATGTTTTCATTCACTAGGTGGGGCTCTCGGTGAGTTGCTGCCTGACGTATGATTATTTTTTTATGACTTTTTACATCGTTTTCTACACATTCAGATTATTATACATTATAGTTATATGAAGTAGATATATTATTAAGTATTATTATTGTTATTATAATGGCTGCATGAAGGAAGTATTGTAATTGGGAAAGGCATTAAACAGTACGATATCTTCAACATTAACTTCCTTTCCTGTTAGTCTCTCCCCTGTATCTCTCCTGTCACCTCATTTCCTTCACATTAAACTCCTCTCCTTCCACCACAGTAAGAGAGAGATGGCCTGGTGCTAGATGCTGTGTGATATACCAAGTGACAGCTTCCTGCAAGGACAAAGTGAGGTGTTACTTCCTTCCACTTCACCCCGACCTACTTGACCCAACACACTCTCATATATCTTACCTCTTATCACCCTGACATTCCCTCATTATTCACTGCCTCAACTGACACAACTGCTCCTATCTAACCCATCAGAGAATGTTATTAAGACATCCATGAGAGACTCTTAGCTACTGTGCCAAAACTACTCATAACCAAAGTATTAAATAGTGTTACTCAGAAAGTTTGTTTAATTTAGCATATTCTACTTAAAGTATTTACAACAAAAGTATTGTATTATTTTGAAAGTTTGTATATTTTGACCTACCATATCACAAGTATTCATGACTAAATATTTTTACTAAGAGTCTTACAGTATATTACATTCGTCTTGATTCCACAAACAACTCACAAGTAAACAACATTAATGGCGCTTCACATTCAACAACATTTCTCACTAATCGATCTAAAAGCTGTAGAATATCTCAGCTGTAGTGGTTGTTAGTTTATCAGCTGCTGGCAATAACAACATAATATATCAGGTTAGCTTTGTGTTAGACCTTAGCTGCGGGGTAGTAGGAGCCGTGCAATCGACACCGGGTAAATGTCAGGTAAGATTCAGGTGTTTATTCAGTGAGTGTTGCCAGTAAGTGCCTCCACCTGTTGACTACACCTGTTGACTACACCTGTTGACTATACCTGTTGATCACATCTATTAATTACACCTGTTATCCTGATAAGAAACAAAAGAATCCTCAAAAACTATACTGTGGCGAAGTGGTTAGCATACTCGACTCCCAACCGTGTGGTCCTAGGCTCGATTTCCGGGCAGGATAAAACTGAGTAAATTTCTTCATAATTTCCGTATATCTACCGAGCAGTAATCAGTAACCAGGATGTTAAGTAATTAGTGGATAGTGTTCCGGGGTAATGGTTAGCCAGTGTAGTTAATAAAGTTGTCTGGTCATCTTGGAGTTTGGCCTTGGCAGTGAGTCATACAGCTCGTTAACTCCGGGGTGTGATTGTTGTGTTGACGATAGCTTCACCAAACACGTGTCTAGGTTGATGGTCTCAAACATGCAGATTAACCAATATTACAAGTCACACTGTTTCACTCCGTCTGTATATCAAGTGATGTGACGTGTTTCCTCAGGTATAAAATAAACTAACGTGTTAATGTACATTGATCTTGCTTGAGTATTATAAACTTGAAATATCTGTACTTGTAATTCTACCATTGCTGTATCTACACTTGTATATCTGTAACTCTATTTTTGCTGTTGTGTTTGTATTTGTAGCTGTATCTTTTCTTGTTTGTGCCTTTATATGTGTTGGTCCTTGTGCTGTATCCTGTATATGAAGTTAACAATAGGAAATGAACAACACAAGTCTGCCATAACCTTTACCTTGGAGAGTAAAGGATTATAGATACTTCCTGTTGTGTTCCTCAGGGCGTGTTGCTGGGCCCCGCCTTGTTTGATATGTCAACCTGACCAGCTAGATCGAGTTGGACCCCACCACTTCCACCACTGTACTACCACCACTACTTCCACCACTATCTCTACTGTACTACCACTACTACCACTACCCCCACCACTACTACCACTACCTCCACTACCACCACCACCAGCTCAAGGCAATCACGACCTCAAGGCCTGTTTGTGTAGCCTTATATTCCTTCCTAACCTAGCAGGAAGTGAGGTTCTGGGATGTATTTATAGGATTAGGTTTGAGGAAGGAAGGATGAGGGCTTAGCAGGGTCAGGAGAAGGGTCAGAGGAGGAGGGGAGGAGGAGGAGAAGGAGGAGACTGGAGCTGACCCTGAATTGTCTTGTTACTGATAAATTATAGTGCTTCATAAGGCTCTTGTACAATTATTATTATTATTATTATTATTATTATTATTATTATTATTATTATTATTATTATTATTATTATTATTATTATTCCCTCCTAAATGACAGACAGAAATTATGGTCCGTGATGTTCTGACCTCGTCTTGACAACCCATATGACCTTACCTCTCACCTGGCACTATTCCTGACACCATTCCAGACTTCACGCTTCACCTGACACCATTCCTGACATGACACTTCATCTGACATCATTCCTGACACCATTCCAGACTTCACGCTTCACCTGACACCATTCCTGACATGACACTTCATCTGACATCATTCCTGACACCATTCTGGACATGACATTTCACCTGACACTATTCCTGACATCATTTTGGACACATGACTCTTTGCCTAACACCATTCCAGACTTGACACTTCACCTGACACCATACTGGCACCATTCTTGACACTATTCCAGACTTGACATTTCACCACACATCCCACTGTCCTGTCCCACACCACACCCAAAACCTCCACCTCCCCACACCCTTGCAAACCCTGCACACCACCTGACAAACGGGCAACACTAGTAGGTCATTCACCTCCTTTCCCCTCTCCCTCCCTCTCCCTCCCAACTCATCCTAATGTACTGCTTAGGATTCAACCCAAGACACGTACGTTAAATAATCTCCTGTAATTCTCTCTCCCTGTAATTCTCCCTCCCGGTACATAGCCAAACATGGTGTCAAAATTAACCCGAGACTCTACTTTAAACACTGAGGTTAGGTTAGCTTAGGTTAGGTTAGGTTAGGTTAGGTGAGGTATTTGCTCCAACAGTAGAGTCATGTCACCTTTGAAACTGTGAAATGACCCCCAGGTTGTGAGACAAGATTCTTCCTACCCAAACCCACCCACCAACCTGTTCTCCTCTTCCTCGTTCTCTCCTCCTATTTCCTACTCCTCCTTCTTCTTCTCATCCTCCTTCTCCTACTCCTCCCTCCTCCTACTCCCTCTCTTTTTTTTTTTACTCTTCCTCCTACTCCTTCTCTCCTCCTCACTTTTAAATATTTTACTCACGATACACAAATGTTATTACTTTACCAGAAATATAAAACCAATATTCAGATTTGTATTATTTTCGTCATGAACAACAAATGTCTATGATTTTTCAGACGAATCATATGTATAAAAATAATATAATGTGCTGATAAATGCCCTTCCTCCCCCAAATACATATACATATATACAAACACACATTTTAAACACTGATTTCTTATTAAACTCAAAATTTACTCTTCATTTCTGTATTGTATTAAGTCGCTGTTTATAGATTATTGTCTATTTCCATATAAGATTATAAACTCATCTTAATGGACGTTGTTTATCATATATCAAGTGTATGTTTACATTTGTTTTTGGTCAACACTCAGTTATTGTTTGCATATTAAGTAGAGTTTTTCGTTTTTTTTTTCTTCAACAAAACAAAAAAACACTTCTCACCACGTCCAGATTTAACACACACACACTATTTCTCATTCACACTCCGCCAAACACACGATAGGACTGGCGATGCTGTATGTGTGTGAATGAGCGAGAGTGAACGTGTGTGTATGTATGTATGTGTGTGTGTGTGCGCGTGTGTGTCTGACTGTCGGGAGCTCAGTAGTACACACACACCTCCACCACGCACGGCTGCCACCACCAGACTGAGGAGATAAGAGACTGAGGCTGACTGACCCTCTCTCTCTCTCTCTCTCTCCTCTCTCTCTCTCTCTCTCTCTCTCTCCCCGTCTCTGTTCCTACCACCACCACTACCCCCTGCTACTACCCCTCTGCTACTTCTTCTATCCTTATCTTAGCTATCATCCTTCTTCCTACTCCAGCCACTTCCCACCCAACTACCCGTGTTCCTGTTCTACCCAACCCGCCCATACCTTTGTTGTTCTCCATGCCACTGCCCCCTGCCATCTCCCCGCCACTACCCCTGCCACTACCCCTGCCACTACCCCCTGTCCTCATTTTTCCACTATCCCCCATCCCGTCATCTCCCTGCCTAATATTCCAACTCTTACCCCTACCACAATTTTGCCTCTACCATCATCGTTATCCACACTATTACTCCCGTTGCTAACCTAAGCTTAGAAATGACTCCCGTATAAGCAGGTAGGAATGAGGACGTCAGTGGTTCACCTAAATAATTATACTTGATCGATTCACCTGTAGTCACCTGTGCATTATAGCCACACCTGTGTCATTTTACCAGGTGCAATGTTGCAATATAATCACGAGAACGTAATGAATTAATGACTGTGATTTATTTACATTATTTTAGGCAATAAATAATCTAACATGGTAACTGAAGACATTCATAGTATGGTTATAAAACAAGTGAGCATCAGATGTTTGTTACCGACGCCACCTTAGACCTGATGTTTAAACCATCCTGTACAGTAACTAAGAGAAGTGTTGACCAGAGTTTTAGGAACTTATGATATTGGGACATGGTGTTTATTCAGCTCAGAAGTTTTTTAGTTTAACAAATTTATTGACGAAGCTTGGAGTACAGCTCAGAGGGGACCCAGTACACAAGGGGTTAGTAGATTATCTCCACTAGTAGACTATCTCCACTAGTAGACTATCTCCACTAGTAGAATATCTCCACTAGTAGACTATCTCCACTAGTAGACTATCTCCACTAGTAGACTATCTCCACTAGTAGACTATCTCCACTCGTCGATTATCTCCACTTAGGATTTGTTGGTGGAGACGTGATGATGCGCCTAGAGACATAACAGTGAGGACACAACCCACACAAGGAGTCAGCGTTAACGGCACTGTACTCGACCGCCTTCACTTCCCCAACTGAACTGTCGGGTACTCACAGCTAGGGGGAGGGGTGGGAGGTTAGAGGTGGGGGGGTAGTAGTAACCCGGGAAGGAACCAGCGACCTTTAGGACAGGAGGCGAATGCTTTTATCCACCCAGCCACCACACCCCTTTTGTTGATGGGACCAGACTGAACACATCCAAAGTGGCCTTCATCTATGATACAAACCTAGACATAAGGAAGTCCTGGACGGTGAGGACCAGTTAACCTGACGAGACATAACATAGCAACACTGATGATTTTTCTCTCAGGTTTATAAACACATCCATGTGAATTATATTTCCTGTTATATATCTCCATAACCACAACCGGAGCTACAACCATCACAACTTTTGACTATAAACCTCAAACCAATCAACCAATCAACCAATCAATCTTCCTCACCTTTCTTTTTCAACCATAGAGACGAGTCTTAAGCCCATATCAAGGTACTCCCACGACACGCCAGGTAACACGCTCTAGGTACTAATTCTCTACAGGTTAATAGTGTTGTTCACCATAAGATATAAGTTCTACTGACGGAGGAGGTAATGGTTGATGGTGACTCAGGGTGGAAGGATGAGGAGGAGGAGAGGGTGGTGGTGACATCCCTTGGTTATAGATGTTGTCAGGCGTGAGGACATGGTGGTGCATATACCTACACCTTCCTGCTTATCCACACACACGCACACACACACACACACACACACACACACACACACACACACAAATGAGACATCCCGAGCGCTAAAATGAACGATGGGGGATCAGTGCCGGGGTGACAGCTATCAGCCTTCACCTACGAGGTTAGAATGCTTAATTAGGTGACTCGACTGGACTGGCAACTCAGCTGATTATTCGCTCAGAGAAAACGGAGACTCGTCAAGGATAAGCCGAAGGAAACTGATGGTATCGTAGGCGGCAGTGGTGGACCCGACGCTTGGTGTGACTTATGTTGGAAAGATATCACGAACGTATTTGTTTAAGCACTGGTTTTACTTTTATGGCAGACAGTCTAGATCTAAGCTACTCTAGCCTAACCTGACCTAACCTGACCAGACCTGATCTGAGCTAACCTAACCTAACCATATACAAGAGAATTAATAGCTACAACACTCGTTTCCTCTCCTAAGGATCGCTGGTTCGTACCTTGATCACCTCCTTCACCACACAAAGCTGTAAGTAGGCATCTAACTATACCATTGAGGAAGTGAAGTGAGTCGAGTACAGTACCGTGTACGAAATCCACACTGCCTGGAATATGGGATCCCTTAATAGTCCTGAAAGTAGTGGTTAAGTTAGGTTAGGTTAGGTTAAGTGAGATATGCTGTTAATAATAAAAGATTGAAGCGATACGTCAATCTGTGATCAGTCGTGGATAACACATTGAGCACATGAGTACAGGCGACTTTCTCGCCTCTTGAGTTCCAACCTAGAGAAAGTTTTAACCCGTGTCAATGTTTCTTTATTTTTTCTCTCCTTTATATAGCCTACATCTCCACCAGGAGGCCTTGTCACGTTGGGGTCATCAGAGACATTGATCTGTCTGATAACCATTATGAGCTTTAGTTCTACGGTTTATTTACAAAGTGAGATTTTGTTGACATTCTACTCTACGAACATAAAATAATTATAATAAAAAATACTCAAAACAAAAAGATAATATTAGTGTGAATATTATTTTATTTACTAATTACTAATTTAATAACCCTACAGTTATTTATGGTTAAGTTAGGATAAAAACTTTGGTTAGTTTTGGCCAGAAATAATGAATGGTAGTGTCGTCCCGTTTTTGGTATTTTTTTTTAACATGGGCCATTTTTGTGGAGCCGACCCGACCCTCACTCACTCACTCCACCAGACGCCGTGTTGTTGTTTTTGGCGCGGTATTCTTGACTGCCAGCCTTCCTGTGTACACTTTGCTGGCCATTACCTTCATGTACTGCTAAGTGTACATATACTGTACACACACACACACACATGGGCTAAAATTAACTCATATATGTATGTGTGTGTGTGTGTGTGTGTGTGTGTGTGTGTGTGTGTGTATGTGTATGTGTGGTCATTACTGCACATATATATTCCAATTATTTTTAACTGTATATGTTTATGAATGGAAGGTAAGAAGTCCACACACACACACACACACACACACACACACACGTCTGACCTCTTTGATGATTTTGGCACAGGGCCGAGGTCACTAAGTGGCGCTCACGACCCCCTCCTCCTCCCTCACCGTGACCCCCTCCTCCTCCCTCACCGTGACCCCTCCTCCCTCACCGTGACCCCTCCTCCTCCCCCTCACCGTGACCCTCCTCCTCACCGTGACCCTCCTCCTCCCCTTCCACCGTGACCTCCCTCCTCCCTCACTGTGACCCTCCTCCCCTCACCGTGACCTCCTCCCTCACCTGCCCTCCTCCTCACCGTGACCCCTCCTCCTCCCCTTCACCGTGACCCCTCCTCCCCTCACCGTGACCCCTCCCTCCCCTCACCGTGACCCCTCCTCCTCCCCCACCGTGACCCCTCCTCCCTCCCTTCACCGTGACCCCTCCTCCCTCACCGTGACCCTCCTCCTCCCCCTCACCGTGACCCTCCTCCTCCCTCTTCACCGTGACCTCTCCTCCTCCCTCACCGTGACCCTCTCCTCCCCTCACCGTGACCCTCCTCCCTCACCATGACCCTCCTCCTCCTCACCGTGACCCCTCCTCCCTCCTCCCCTCACCGTGACCCCTCCTCCCTCACCGTCACTCCTCCCTCCCTCACCGTGACCATCCTCCCTCACTGTGACCCTCCTCCCTCACTGTCACCCCTCCTCCCCCCTCACCGTGACCCTCCTCCTCCCTCATCAGACCATCCTCCCTCTCTCATCGGGACCACACATCTACTCTCGTCTTCTATATTATCTATCATTATTTCATCCCTTCTAACCTTCTTTCCATATACATCAAACTCAGACACATATCCCACATTATTCCTATAGGTTCTCTTACACCAAATATATAAATTAATAAACAAACTCCAATTCATGAAAACTATATATTTATTAACACTCAATTATGGTCAGTTAATCTTCTATATACAATTAATTAAATAATATAAGTGATTCTGCAACGTCATTGTTTATAAAGATTCACCATTAAAGTCAAAACAACAACAGACTGTAAATTCCCCGCCAAATTTACTCTTTCGTCACCTGAGCAGAATGTAAACACTGGCCTCATGGTTTTATACACACGATGCCTCTGTAACATCCAGTGTATTTACAATTATTTAAATCACCTACAAACTCAACAAACTCAGATTACTATTAACTTCTTTATATAATAATTAATTCCTTTTCATATATGCAATTTCTTATATATTTTATATATCCAACAAACCAAATTATTTTATAACTCATTCAATTTTATATATTAAGTCGTAATATTCTACGTACAGTTAATTGAGCTAATTATATAACTCAATAATAACTAAAATAACTCAGTGATTATTACTTGACATTTGTTTTATATTATTTATTAAGTAACAAAAAAGTACCATGTAAGTATATTTCCCAAAACAGTAAAAAATATAACAGAATCTCCTTAATAAAACCTACAGAATAGACAAACACCCAAATCCTGAAGTATTAAGACAAAAAAATTTATTAGAATTGTGACGTCATCATGTATTTCGTGACGTCATCATGTATTTCGTGACGTCATCATGTATTTCGTGACGTCATGTATTTCGTGACGTCATCGTGTATTGGAATTATGGTAACTTATGGCAAATTAATTTATCACTGTTTTACACTTGTTATTATTTTCGAGTTGAAATTGTTACTTTTGTTTATCAGTTGTGGGTTGATCGTCAATCTTTGTACTGTAGTGTTGGTGGGAAGAGGAGATGGGGGAAGAGGGGGTTAGGTTAGGTTAGGTCGGGTCAGGTCAAAAATTACCACGGCCGTATCAGTGGAACAACGCCTCGTACGTCTTCATTCTTTGGGAACTGAAGACTCTCTGTGTGTGTGTGTGTGTGTGTGTGTGTTACATAGTATGATGAGTGTGGTTATTGTGGTGTGCGTTGAGGTGCGTGGCTGTGTGGTTGTCGTGGTTGGGTAGTTGTGGTAGGTTGTTTGCTGGTGGTGGTAGTAGATTGTCTGCTGCTGATGGTGGTGATTGTAGTGGTAGGTTGTATGCTGGTAGTGTTAATAGATTGCTTGCTGGTGGTAGTAGTGGTGGTGGTTGTGGTAGACCATCTGGCCCAGAGGAGGATGAACCATTACTGTTATGTTCATGGTGATAGCGGTTGTCTGTGTGTATGTCTGGGTATATGGGCGGGGTGTGGGTGATGGGTGGACTAGTGGGCGTGGTCTGGGTGGTGGGTGGACTAGTGGGCGTGGTGTGGGTGGTAAGTGGACTAGTCGGCGTGGTCTGGGTGATGGGCGGACTAGTCGTCTGGGTGATGGGGACTAGTGGCGGTCTGGCAGGGTGGACCAGTGGGCGGGGTGTGGGTGATGGGTGGACTAGTGGGCGTGGTCTGGGTGGTGGGTGGACTAGTGGGCGTGGTGTGGGTGGTAAGTGGACTAGTCGGCGTGGTCTGGGTGATGGGCGGACTAGTGGGCGTGGTCGTGGGTGGGCGGTGGTGGTAAGTGGACTAGTCGGCGGTCTGCGATGGGCGGACTAGTGGGCGTGGTCTGGGTGATGGGCGGACTAATAGGCGTGGATTGGGTGATGGGTGGACTAGTGGGCGTGGTCTGTGGTAAGTGGACTAGTGGGCGTGGTCTGGGTGATGGGCGGACCAATAGGCGTGGACTGGGTGATGGGTGGACCAGTGGGCGTGGTCTGGGTGGTAAGTGGACCAGTAGGCGTGGTATGGGTGGTAAGTGGACTAGTGGGCGTGGTGTGGGTGATGGGCGGACTAATAGGCGTGGACTGGGTGATGGGTGGACTAGTGGGCGTGGTCTGTGGTAAGTGGACTAGTGGGCGTGGTCTGGATGATGGGCGGACTAATAGGTGGACTGGGTGATGGGTGGACTAGGTGGGCGGTCTGTGGTAAGTGGACTAGTAGGGCGTGGTATGGGTGGTAAGTGGACTAGTGGGCGTGGTCTGGGTGATGGGCGGACCAATAGGCGGACTGGGTGATGGGTGGACTAGTGGGCGGTCTGGGTGGTAAGTGGATTAGTGGGCGTGGTCTGGATGATGGGCGGACTAATAGGCGGACTGGGTGATGGCGATTAGTGGGCGTGGTCTGGGTGATGGGCGGACTAGTGGGTGTGGTCTGGGAGATGGGCGGACTAGTGGGCGTGGTCTGGGTACTAGAGACAGAGGGACTCCCATCATAACCCTGAAGGTAGTGAACATGGGGTGTATCCACGAGCTCACTAGGGGGGCCCTCATGGTCTTCTTCAGGGTCCACGGGGCCCATGGGTAAGGCATCGTGAGCATGGGCGTGGGCGGCAAGTGGGTGCGACCTGAGGACAAGATCAGGAGCCGCCCGGAGCATATCGTGCCAATGGTGACGACCCTCCTCCCCCACACACCCACCACACCCCAACACACACGACCCCACCACACGACGACCACAACCTGTAGAAGGACGACTTTAATTAATGGCTCAGGTGTACACAGGTAACTAAAATATATACATAATTATGAGTATATCAGTATTTGATTTTATTTATGTGTTGGAGAGATGAAGGATGTGTGTGTGTGTGTGTGTGTGTGTGTGTGTGTGTGTGTGTGTACCTGGTTTAGTACGTAGCCTGGCACTAAGTACGAGGTGGGTAGCATCAAGGTCCAACTCGGGCATGTGAAGGGTGAGCTCCTCCTGAAACACGGTGACCTGACCCTCCAAGGCCCTGGGTGAGGTCCTTCTCCAGCACAGGATGGTGTTGTTTGTGTACACGGTCACCTTTACATACACCTGAGCTGTAGGTTAGTTAGGTTAGGTTAAGTTAAGTAAGTCAGTTTTGAGGGTTAGAATCTATCCCAGAATTTGCAACACCTGTCCAGTCCAGTGACCTCCAACAACTCACCAATATCATGCAGAGGTAATTGGTGCTGGAGGTGGAGGCCGGTGAGGTTACAGATCCTGATGGTGAGGTCACTGGTCTCTCTCTCCCAGCCGAGGCCGACCTCCACTTGACCTCCTCCACCCACCTGTAATATCATAATACTGGAGTTAATTTTTATTTACCTCTCCACGCGATCCTCTTCCTCCACCTACCCTCCTCCACCTGCCCTCCTCCTCCACCTACCCTCCTCCACCCTCCCTCCTCCACCTGCCCTCCTCCTCCACCTACCCTCCTCCACCTACCTCCTCCTCCTCCACCTACCTCCCTCCACCTACTCCTCCACCTCCTCCACCTAACCCCCTCCTCCACCTACCCTCCTCCACCCTCCTCCTCCTTCACCTGTCTTACCTGCTGGTCTGGGGCGCTCTCCTGAAGGTGTAAGGTGAGAGGTCCAGTGTCCAGGTCGTGTGTGAGGCCAGCTCGGAGGCCAGTGGAGGCCAAACCCACAGAGGCGTATCCGACCACCACACGTCGGCCACAATCAGTGACCTGCAGTATACAACACGTCATCGCCACGTCATCACCACACAACACGTCACACTACACCTCATCACCACACCGCACGTCATCACCACACCACACGTCATCACCACTCAGCACGTCACATTACACGTCATCACCACTCAACACGTCATTTTACACGTCATCGCCACGTCATCACCACTCAACACGTCACACTACACGTCATTACCACACAACACATCATCAACACTGAACATATCATCACCACACGCCATCACCCCGTCATCATCACTTACCTATGACTCATCACACCTCCCTAGCACCCACCTGGCAGACGGAGAGCCTGAGGGTGGCGTGAGCGAGGCGGGAGGGGCGGGCGGCGTGGGTGAAGGCGGCGTTGAAGCTGGCGTTATCGGTGGCTGCTATAACACGTGTTGTAAACCTCACACGCTTCTCAGGTAACAATACTGCCTGGTGATGGTTTAAGGGGGGTGAGATTATGTGGTAATTGTGGTAGAGGCCGTGGTAGTGGTGGTAGAGGTAGTGGTAGTGGTGTTAGAGGTGGTGGTGGTGGTGGTAGAGGTGGTGATAGAAATGGTGGTGGTTGTAGTGGTGGTCGTGGTAGTAGTGGTTGTGGTGGTGGTGGTAGAGGTGGTGGTGGTGGTGGTAGAGGTGGTGATAGAAATGGTGGTGGTGGTAGTGGTGGTTGTGGTAGTAGTGGTTGTGGTGGTGGCAATAATAGAATGTTTCATGGTAATTAAATGTTCAGTACACTCTATCTTAACAGCATGACTTCAGCATTTCAGCGCACGAATGACACACACACACACACACACACACACACACACACACACACCTTGGTATAAGTGTCCACGGGGTCAGGACCTAGTCTGAGAGGCAGTTGGTCAGCAGATAGGACGGTCAGCCGCAGGAGCCGAGACCTTATTGAGTACCGTAACCGCACCCGCAGCTCACCCAGCCCGCACCCTCCACCTGCGGTAATGAATAATATAATAACAACAACAATAACAACAATACTACTACTACTACTACTACTACTACTACTACTACTACTACTACTACTCACCTGAACCAATACTGGAGGCGGGAGTCCACACAGGTCCCCAGCCATCGACGGAGTCTGGGGTAGTGACATCACCGGGGTCAGGACTTAAGGGGTCAGAGGTCAAGAAAGGATGTTGGAAGGCTGACCTCAGTTCCTCCAAGCCCTGGGTGCCTCTGTGAGAAGAAAGGGAGGGAGAGAGGGAGGATAGTAGTGAATGGTCATGACTAAGAAAGATGATTGGAGTTATCACTGATATAACAACTTGTTAATGAGCTAATTAGCCTCCAACAACATTAACAGTAGATGGACATGTATATCTCACTCAAATGACCTCGTATACATATAAGTATACAATATTAATTCATTCACATTAGCTTGGGTAGATTGTAAGTGTGGATACATATCTCACTCACACATTTTAGCGTGATGGGTAATGACTTACTTCCTGGCGTAGAGATTCCTGGGGAGTAGTGCTGGGGGTGTACCTGGGGAGCATTGGGGTCCAGGCCACCACCTTCTGGACCCCAAGGGCAGGGAGAGGGACGGGGTGTGGGGAGAGGTCCGTAGGAAGCCGTGAGGTGAAGCTGAGCGAGGGCGTGCAGGGGACACAGAGGACAAGGGTGAAGTAGTAGTGGTGGTGGTGGTGGGTAAAGGGGTGCAGGTGGTGAGGTGGAATGGGGTGTAGGTAGGGGGGTGGAGTGGGGTGTAGGTGGGGGGTAGGGAGAAGGTGACGGGGAAGGAACTGCTACTGAAGGTCGAGGCTGTAGTCACCCCTCCGTCACGTACTGTGGGGGGTGACGCGACACGTTTATTGTTACGTTACACCTGCTTAAGGGAACACAATAACACAGGTATATAATAAGTACAGATACACAGGTAGCACTTTGCCAGGTAACAGAAGAACATGTGCGTGTGTGTGTTGTTCACCCACTGTGCACTAACCATAGCTCATCAGAGAAGTATATTAATATCATGTAAATACTATAACAAAAACTAACCTCAGAATATTATAACATTAACACAACACATTATCTATGCCTTAACGTAACAACAGCGAGCCATCAGCCAATCATAACTCTTGATATAACTATCTTGACAATTTACTATAGTTACCCATCTCATTGGTTTTCTCTGGTTCATTTTTATTTTAATTTATATTCCCTCCAATTATCTCAAGTTTAAGGACGCTAACATGTAATTTGTATGTATATTTATTTTATATCTTATTATTTATTAATAAACACAATATCTCATACACTGTTTCCTATTTATGAAAAACTCTTATTCATAATGTATACATTTATCACGTATGTAACCCATTTTCCTTCAACAATAAATTAAACTTATTATTGGAACTTATGTCAAGAGTTAGATGGACACAACAAAAGGAGAGAAAGGTATTTGTTTACTTTAGTGCGTCTAGTGAGAGTGTAGGGACAGGTTGTGTGTGTGGGACGTTGGCGGGAGTGATGGTGATGCCTTAGCTCAACTAACATGCAACTGTTGATATATTGCTTCCTCTAGGCTTTGCAATTGCCAAGATCAACTGCACTGAAGAATCCCAACGTGCACACAGACAACAGACGGCAGTACAGACGAATAAGTAAATCGTAGGTGCCATTTGGATGTATTCATTGTAGTTAGTTACTAGGCATTTCAAGGTGTGTGTGTGTGTGTGTGTGTGTTGAAGTACCGTAAATTGCTATTGTCGTTATCACTAGGAAATAGCCAACCATTCAGCCAGACAGACAGACGGATAAGGAGGTGGGGCATTAAGCTAAGCACTGAACAATGAGTTACTCACTGGGACAATATAAGCCGTGGTGTTCAGGGGTGGTGGTGGGCGTGGGCGTGGTGCTGCCTAGCCCCTTACTGCGCTCTGTGGGCGTGGGTGAGAGAGTCATGGTGGGTGGAGGTGTGCGGGGCTCACTGCCGGCCTCACTGTGGGTGATCTGTAGAAGGGAAGAACACTACTTGTATTCTAACACGACACGATACGACACAACACAGCACATTTTATCTCGTTTACGTGAATCAATTGGTCACATATCTTCTAGTCAGAGAGGCCAGGAGGTAGAGAGGCCAGGAGGTAGAGAGGTCAGGAGGTAGAGTGGTCAAGAGGTAGAGAGGTCAGGAGGTAGAGAGGTCAGGAGGTAGAGAAGCCAGGAGGTAGAGAGATCAGGAAGTAGAGAGATCAAGAGGTAGAGAAGCCAGGAGGTAGAGAGGTCAGGAGGTAGAGAGGTCAACAATACTCACAGTAGGCATAACAAACGCCATGGGGTGGTCAGGGGGAGCGTAGGGGCCGGGCTTCCTCTTGGAAACTAAGAAGGTTGCTGGACTGGGGTCACCCGCATGACCTCTCAGTCGCCTGTAATAGGAAGCTAGGTCATCCCAGGGTGTAGTTTTTGACCTAGGATGGCTACTGGTCAACTCTACTCCAGTCTTAATCAGTCTAAAACTCACTTATTAAGACTGGGACATATTAGGTTAAGTTGGGTTGGGTTGGATCAGGTTAGGATTGTTTGGGATAGGTCTGGTTAGGTTAGATCGATTGAGTTGGGTTACATTAGATTGGGTTAGATTAGGTTAGGTGAGGTTAGGTCGGACTGGGTTAGGTTGGGCTAGGCCAGGTTAGGTTGGGGTCTAGTCTATCTGGGGCCCATATGAACGACCACCAATTAGTGTAATGTTTTATGATTTTTCCTTATGGGTGAAATAAATAAAGCCAACTACAGCAGCGTGATTATACATGGTGATTATTGTATTTACCTGGACTCGAGAAAAGGACAGGTGTATGTACAGGTAAATTAAAGTTGTTTATATACAGGTATAAAAAAAAAATAATAATTTCCAAACCACTAGACACTTGTGTTACCGCTTGACCTGCTACACCACCTACACCACCCACCCCCACTTACACCATCCACCCACTTACACCACCACCCACTTACACCACCACCCACTTACACCACCCACCCCACCTACACCATCCACCCACTTACACCACCACACCCCACACCACCCACCCCACCACACCACCACCCACTCTACACCACCCACCCCACTCCTCACTTACACCACCACCCACTTACACCACCACCACCCACCCACTTACACCACCACCCACTTACACCACCCACCCCACTTACACCACCCCACTTCACCACCCACCACCACCCACTTACACCACCACCCACTTACACCACCACCCACTTACACCACCACCCACTTACACCACCACCCACTTACACCACCACCACCACTTACACCACCACCCACCCACACACCACCACCCACCCACACCACCACCCACCTGCACCAAAGACCAAGACAAAGGGCGGTGCAGAAGAGCAGGGCACCAGCTAGTGATACGCCCACCACCAGGCCGCCCATCATTGCTGGGGACATGGTTTCGTGGGCGCCGTCCCTCCAGTGTGTTTTCTCATGAGCTCCCAGCATCACGGCCCCAAGGAGCGAAGGAGCTGTAGAGGAGAAGGGGAGAAATTGTTCCGTATTTAGTCGACTGTAAGCGGTTAGGTTAGGTTACGTTAGGTTAGGTTTGGTTTGGTTAGGTTAGGTTAGTTTAGGTTAGGTTAGGTTAGGTTAGGTTTGGTTAGGTTAGTTTTTTGTGTGTGTGTGTTTTGTTTTGGTTTGGTTTAGGCTAGGGTATGTTTTTTTTTAGGTTATATTAATCTTTCTTTAGGTAAGGTTAAGTTAAGTGAGGTTAAGCTCGGTTATATTTAGTCAGATTTTCTCAGTGTCACGTCACCTGTAAAGTAATTAATTTAAAATACAGGTGAAGTTGAGGAAATATATTTATAACTCTAATATACATATATATATATATATTTTTTATATTTCAGGGTTAGTCATGCGAGGGTTTAGACACGAGAACATTAAAGTGTTTTTAGATGTGTGTCATGATTGGTTAAGATACGATATCTGATTTGTTTTACCTCATTTTCGGCCAATGAGGGACGTTGTTTTATTCAGGTGCTTTAAGATGTGTATTATGATTGGTTAAGATACGATATCTGATTTGTTTTACGTCATTTTCGGCCAATTAGGGACGTTATGTCATTGAGGCGTTTTAAGACGTGTATTATGATTGGTTTAAACTCAACTACTTGTTAGTTTGATCTCAATTTCGTCCAATCACCGACGCTTGTTTTATTCAGGTGCTCTCAGACGCGTGTTATGATTGCATAAGGCTCGCTTATTGGTTAGTTTCATCTCATATCTGGCTAATCAGCAACGTTATATTATTGAAACACCTGACTTGCCTTTCCATGCACGCAATCGAAAATAAACAATAATTACTTACCAGAAAACGTAGCAACGAATTATTTACAAAAGAGACGAGAATAGATGGAAGAAGACGAATAATTGATGTAAAATAACGATGAATAAAGGATAATAAGTGAACAAATGAGGTAGATATAGAAGTTATAAAAGAGGGAGATTAAATCGCTGATGAGACAGTAAGAGTTGACCACGGAGAGTAACCGATCACCTTCCTTTACGTGTGAATAACCCGCCAGAAATCACGATGAATTGGAAATATAAATCCCATGAAATTCAGTCGTTAATTTCAGCCTTTACACCCAATAGACACGAGGGCACTTCATTTGGATGACACCTACACACACACAGACACAGATACAGAAACGCACACACACACACAGGCAGACACAGACACACGCACATAGAAGAGGGAAGTAGGCAGGAAGTATAACCTACATTTACAGACAGATCACTGCCCTGTCCACACACACACACACTCACACACACACACACACACACACACACACACGTGATTGACTGAGTAGTGTTATAAGCGGATAAGTTTCAAGTAATTTCTGAAGGCTGTAAAAAGCTATTCACTCACTCACTCGAAATTAGAACCACACAGAAAAACCCACCACATCCGGGTAAGTAGCCACACAGGTGACATAATTAGGAACACCTGTCGCCCACCTTCTCATTAACACTACATACGGCATTATCCACCATTATCCACTTCTTAATCCTATCCACATATTTCAAGAGATGGATAATGTTTCTTTGGCTTACTTTATCGTTTTATAAGAGTAATGGATAAAGTTGTGAGGAAGGTTTGTTACTGAATGGTTATGAAATGACTTAAGGTGAGGTCAATTTGGTTTATGTTGAGTATAATTGATTAGGAGGAAGTAGGTTTGGTTTTAAGTTCACTGATGAATGGATTTTAGGTATACAGACGTAGATACATACAGAGATAAAGATACATACAGTATACATACATACATACACGAGATGTATATATATATAGATTTATTGTTTATAGGTGTGTGTGTGTGTGAGTGAGTCATTGTGTTAAAGAGGACACAGATGTTGACGTTATAGACACACACACACACACACACACACACACACACACACACACACACACACACACACACACACACACACACACACACACACACACACGTCTCGAATCAAAGTTACAGATACAAAAGCTACATAAATTACTAACACACAAACACACAGGTAAAGTTACAGCTATAATTACAGAAACAAAATATGAAAAATAACAGATGCAAGATCAGGTGTGACAACGGTACAGAAACGGTTACAAGAACAGAACATTAAATTACAAGTGTTTATACAGGTATCATAAAACAGTAATTATTGATACACCTACAAGCACAGGTACAGGTGTAAATACAAAACTGCTTACAGTACACTCGGAGATATTAATCCAAATACAGCATTAATACAGTCATAAATGCACGTATAGTTACAGGTAAAATTCAAGTCAGGTGAAGCAAATACAGACAGGTACAGAAATAAGTAGTAGTTAAACGACATAACACACACGTATGTACTCTATGTAATTACAGGTAGAACGAGAGTACAGGTAGATACAAGTACAGGTACAGTAACACTACAGGAATATATATATATATAATTAAAGGTACAGCAACACAGGTTAATTACAGGTAACAATTGTACAGGTATATTATAATAGTAAAGGAGCCATAATAACTTCCAAATTACACTGAGACTAAGTGAATTAGTTTGGTTTATTTGCTCACTATTTCTCAACCATAGAGTTCCATTATGTAAAATATCTTTTCATTATCTCTTCACTAACCTAACTTAACGTAAACCTAACGTAAACCTAACCTAACTTAACGTAAACCTAACGTAAACCTAACCTAACTTAACTCTACAGTATACTCACCGCCTTTCTTTGTTTTTCACCCATTATTCATCTCTTCAAAGTTTTCTATTATAAACCAGTGGCGACTCAGTGGGTTAAATCCTTCTCACGAGATTAAAACGCAAACACCACACCACGCTAACACCACACCACGCTAACACCACACCACGCTAACACCACACCACGCTAACACCACACCACGCTAACACCACACCACGCTAACACCACACCACGCTAACACCACACCACGCTAACACCACACCACGCTAACACCACACCACGCTAACACCACACCACGCTAACACCACACCACGCTAACACCGCACAACGCTAACACCACACCACGCTAGCACCACACCACGCTAACACCACACCACGCTTAGATACAGGGATGGAAGCGAGGTGCAAAGGGTGACTGCGTGTGTGAGGAGGAAACGGCACTGTGGAGGATTGTGGCAGGTGTGTGTGTGTGTGTGTGGCAGTGTGTGTGTGCAGCAGTGCTCAACTCTCCTCTCCCCCTTCCCTCTCCTCCCCCCTCCCCCCTCACCTGCAGACCACCCCTGTATAGAGGCAGGTATACGTATTAAGGTGACTAACTTGGTCTTCGTGCCACTAACCTAACCTAAACCTAACCTAAACCTAACCTAACCTAAACCTAACCTAACCTAAACCTTAAAACATACAGTAACACTAAACCAACAATAACACCATATACTAAAGCTTATCCAGTTTCTAAACCCCCAGATGATTAAACCTAGAAAAATAAACCCTCCCCCAAATTAACAAAAAATACAAGTATGATGATTGAAATTTATGATCAATATATATAAAAAAAAACCACGTATATAAAAATAATTCATGTTTTTTTTTTTTTTAATTTTCATAAAGTTTCATTTGTTTTATTATCACTACTAGAGAAAATATCAATAAGGTGATAGGGGTTGATATCTGATAAGACGGTCAAGAAGAGATAAGGTAGGGTAGTGTCATATGTTTTAATGGTTTATATGTCAAGGTTAATCACGTTATAATCCCAGGTAATAAGACGGTTAAAGCCTTCCAGATGCACCACATTACACCACTACACCATTAAACCATCTGAATTTACACCATTAAACCATCTGAATTTAGATAAGGAATTCTTGATTATTTAACCCGTATTTATTTTATTTTTTTTCACCTTATATCGGCGTGTAATGAGAGGCTGTGACGTCACCATTTCAGGGTTCCGTTTTGGTGAATGGTTATGGCGTAATGGTGAGCGGTGATGACGTAATGGTGAGTGTGTGTTTGGTTGTATGGTGAAGATGGTGACCTTTACCTGTGTGTATTAGGGAGTTAATTAGGTCTTATTTACCTATGGGTGTAGCCTAAAGGTCATAAACAGTTTACACCTGGTGGTTTACCTTACACTAAACAGGTAGAAGGGGTTAAGATGCAATATAATGAGAGTTTACACGTAACTAATACCATGGCCCATCTATGTAACCCAACTACCAGGTCACCAGGTCACCGGGTCACACGTCAATCACTAAATCCAAAGTTTCAAAGTTGTGAAATTTCTGTTTCTAATTGTCAAATACATTGTTTACTACTGAAAGTTTTGGGTAAATAAATATAACTTGTTTTTATTTGGGTGGGGGTAAGGTGTTTATTGTTTATCTGTCTTGTTTGTCTTGTTTATATCATCATGTTTACTTTGTGGTTCCTCAAGGGCGTTCGTCTTAAGTCTTCCTGCTTGTTTGATTATCTCGTTCAATGTAACACCCAAGGTCTTCGTTATATCACTTGATAAGTTTCCGCATTGGTGTCTGCTAAGTCGACTCTTCCTTCCTTAAGAGTGGCGCTATTGGCACTATGAAATAATCTTAGTGCCACCCTTATGGACCAATCACAGTGCCACCCTTATGGACAAATCACAGTGCCACCCTTATGGACCAATCACAGTGCCACCCTTATGGACCAATCACAGTGCCACCCTTATGGACCAATCACAGTGCCACCCTTATGGACCAATCACAGTGCCACCCTTATGGACCAATCACAGTGCCACCCTTATGAAACAATCGTAGTGCCACCCTTAAGCAACACGCTGGTAATTCTCATCATGTGTGCCTAATGATACTCAGTTAATGTATGTAAATAGATTCTGGTGCTGCCTGAGTGTAGCGATAAGTGATATCCCGGAATTGTGTTGCTTGGGGTAGGATTTCTGTTCGTCACATTAGTGGAGATAGTCTACTAGTGGAGATAGTCTACTAGTGGAGATAGTCTACTAGTGGAGATAGTCTACTAGTGGAGATAGTCTACTAGTGGAGATAGTCTCCTAGTGGAGATAGTCTACTAACCCCTCGTGTATGGGGTCCCCTCTGAGCTGACTAAAATCATCTGACGTCAACCAAATAAAATATTAAAAGTGGCGTCCCTGTAGTAAAGATGTTAATAGTTTTACTTGATTGTGTGTCTTAGGAAGTGGTTATTTTTTGTTGATACTATGAATGTCTTTTGTTACGTTGAGACTGACACCAAACTCAGCTTCTAGGTACACGTTTATTGCTCTTCCTCTCAGACTAACATGAGTACAGTTGTCATTTATCAGAACATAGAGAAACAATAGACTACGTTTTATGAAAGATGTTATTGATCATATTAAGTTAAAATTTATAGGAAATTAATAAATTGAGTGGTAGTTTTCAATATGTTTTGGTCTCATTTGTGTATCTAATTACAGTAAATATTCAACATTACAGAGTGGAGAACGTGTGGAGCTATGGAGGATGTAGCAGGGTCATGACACACTCGAACACCAGGATCCTGTGTCGTAGAAGACCAGACCAGCTGACCCGAGCCTCATCAACCATAAGATAAGAAACTTTATTTTAAGTTTTTGGTTAGGTTAGGTTAGCTTAGGTTAGGTTAAGTGATAAAGTACTTAACGTCTTGAATACGATGACTTAATCCCTTGAATACGATGACTTAATCCCTTGAATACGATGACTTAATCCCTTGAATACGATGACTTAATCCCTTGAATACGATGACTTAATCCCTTCAATTACTGGGTATATGAACGTAGGAACAACACTAGTGGTTTGTGATTGATTGATTGAATATTTTGATTAGGAAATACGTATTAGTGAGATATGAACGTCACTCGTGTGTGTGTGTGTGTGTGTGTGTGTGTGTGTGTGTGTGTGTGTGTGTGTGAAAAACATAATATATAAAAGTAATCACACATGGATACACATTTATGTATTTTCTTCATTGATAAAATCCTAACCTAACCTCATTCTCCCAAAACAGTATGAGGGTAGTTGATTTTTTAGGTTTAATTAGCTGAGATGATGATTCTTCAGGTGAGCTCCTTTAAAAATATTCTATCTATAGGTGTATTTAATCATGCTAATTAATGTATCATTAGACGTGCATATGACCTTCAAGTTAATTAAGAGTAATTACCTCGCCTGATTACCTGGTATTCACATCTCAGAGTCTGGGATCCATTAATTACCATGCTGGAAGTATAAGAGGTCAGATTTTCCCCAGTTTCCACTCCCCCTCTCTGGCAGTGAACCATCACTGTTTATAATCTCTACTGCTGTTATGGGCACAGGTGTACTGGTAATATTCTCACACCTGTACTTATTCATATTAAGCTCCGACGTCTATAAAACATGTTTGAAATGAGTGAGTTACCCCTAGAGAGAGATTTGTTTTCTGTATTGCCCCTGTCTCGTAAATGGTGAATTATTACCTGACAGTAAGTGAAGTATCAAGATTCAGTATGTATATGTATATGACTTCCCAGCCACATCTGTGATAACTGTTTTTGCCTCTTGTCAAGTTATGAGTTATCCATTAAACTGAAGTTACCGTATACTGTATGTCTCTGATTCGCAGCCACCAGAGAACCTGATGACTGTAGTGAAGTATCGTCATTGATCAGAAAATGTTAAAGCCTCCAGTCTGGTCGGCTAACGGCCATGGGTAATTCATTACATTACATTACATTAAAACAATCTGTAAGAGAGTAAAGAGAAATATAATAAATATAATAAATTTAATAAAATAAAGTGATAAAGCCCACAATCCCCCCCCCCCCCGCGACTGCCACCCTATACCCACAGTGGCGTTTATAAGCTTGTGAAAAAATGGCAGGGGGAGGGGTGAAAGGGTAAGACATTTTTGTTTGTACTGTTCTGATTGTTCTCACTCTTTCCTCCTCCCTACTTCTAAGTGTCCCTTCTCACTTGATTTACTTGACGTACACTTGGTAATTTACTGAGGTAACCTGACTGCCACAGATATATTACACGTGGAGATTTGAAAGTTTAATTAGTTTCTAGTTTTGAAGAGACATTAAAGAATTGTTTGGGGTTTAGTTTCGTTTATTTTAGTTGGAGATGATTTTAAGGTTGCCTAACTATCATAAGACCTAACCTAACCTAACTTAACCAAACCGTATCTAACCGAACCCAATCATAAAACAGTTTTGGTGAAATATAAACAAATACACGAGTTACCCCAATATATTTACCATTTTCTTCAAAGCAAACACAGAGAATGTAAAAGGGTAAACAAAAATATTTTTGAAGGTTTATTGTTCGTGTTTACATAATGGTTCACGTTACTTACGATACTTACTGTTACGTTTAATACTACAGAAAGTCATTGATATATAGACGTTAGCTTTAATATTGTAAGGCTTCCCTCAGTTATATATATATTCCGATGTTTTCACTACCACATAAGCCCCAGACCATCTTTTTATACTCAACACAAAATGGAATAATTTCTTCACTGCATTCATGTATAAAGTTCTAATACATAACTGAAAATATATAAAAAGTGTTTAATAGTTTCTGGATAATATGATCTCTGTTTATTTGGGGTATATCAGTATTGTCTAATTAAGCTAATGTTCTCCCTTAATCTTTCCCAATCAATAATAATTTACTCTTTCTTATGTTGTCTCACTTTTTTAACTGGCTTGTAAAATTGAATCGTCTCACAATGGCAAACAGAGTAAGACACTTAAATTTGCACGATGATGAATAAGTGTAGATGTATTTTTCGAAGAGGAAATCAGAATTGAGTTACCTGATATGTATAGTTAATCGTTTCAGTGAATCTATGCCTAAATCCCTAGATATTGTCCATCAGATTTCACCTAGAGATTAAATTATCCTAACTTATATACTGTATTTCTGAATCTTTTAGTACT